GGAGGGGCAAGCCATTTAGCAAATCCACTCTTCTTATGGTTGCAGAAGTCAGAGTTGATTTGAGAAGCCCCATTTTATATAAAAACAAGATTGTAAAGGTTTTAAAGGCAAGAGCCTACAAGCTGATGGCAAGAGGAAGAACAGGGAATACAGTGAAATTCAACTCCCAGAGACCAAAGTTTATTGCTACTCTCCATTTGTCCAGCTTCCTTTGTGGGATACCACTATTCAACCACTCGATAAACAATGAACGGGTCACTTTGAATTAGATTATTTGGACTCTTCCTGGAGTCAAAAGACAAAATAAATATAAATCTTAAAAACTAGATAAGAGAGTATTTTCAGTACAACATTCTATAAAATAATAAATTGATTCCCAGTGCCTTCTGGAAATAGGGAAAAGAAAGGTAGGTAGAAGCATTGCAAATGAGACAATAAATTATTTGCAGTCATCTGAAATTTCGACATGAACTATTATTAGGCCCAAAATAATCTGGGATGTCTTATATCAGAAATTGGAGGTTATTTTAGTTATGATTTTTAAATACTACATTCAAGATAAGACCATGGTCTTGAAATAGTCACGCTCAGTATGTTCTATCATACTCTTAAAAGTGTCCTAATTTGTTTGAAATTTGTATTTTTGGTGCATGTTGTATCCAATAAAAAACACTAGGAATCATTTCTTCCCCTGAAAACTGCTGCTTCTAAATAGCTTTTCCCCCAAAAAAGAATGTCCCTCCAATCCCAAAGAAAAAAACACCTGATTACAAAGTGTCCAGTTAAGTAAGAATTAAACAAACCATAAATCAAAGTGCAGTGACACTCATAATTTTAATCCACAGTAAAATCTGAGCACGTTAATAAGCTTGTGATGATACAAGTCTGTGTCCTTCCAATGATTTAGATCTAAAAGCAGATCTATCATCAAGTTGAAGAACCAAACAGGAACCACCCATATTCCTGTTGATCATGAGCATTTTGAACGAGACAAGAACATGTTCTTTAGCAAAAGAGACTTAAAATGAACTCAAGAAAAGTTAAGTTTATCAGTGAAACATTTTAATTGAAAATATGTAATTTGTAATGTTTCATGGATAAATCTAATTTTCCCAAGTTCATACTTGTTTAAATGATTGGTCTGGCAAAATAAAATCAGTATACGTCAATTTTGTATATATGGAGAAGGAAGAGGACTGGCAATTTTGAAACTAGTTTCTTTATTTTCTAAAGTTATATAAGCAAGCAATGTCTTTTTAAATGAAAATCAAGAAATGGAAACAGCAAGGATAAAAAAAATCACATATAGTCCTTCCTTCCAAACTTGGCCTCTGTGATCGTTTGTAGATATTTCTGTTTTTTTTTTTCTCATATTTCAGTTGTGAAGTTTCACATACATGCAGAAAAGCACATAAAGCTTATATGTACAGTCTAACAAGTGGTTATAAAGTGATTGCCAATGTAACCACCACCCAGGACAAGAAATTAAACAGTGCTGGCAGCTCCTCATCCCGCCTATCCCCTCCCTTACCCTCACTGAAGTCACCCCATCCTGATGTATGGTAGCCAATCCCTTGCTTTTCTTGATAAATTTACCTCCTACACTGTTGCCATACATATGCACCCCTAAACTGCACACTTTTAAAAGAGGATTTATTTATTTTAGAGATAGGGTGCAGGGGGAGGGGCAGAGGGAGAGGGAGAGAATCTCAAGCAGACTCCATACTGAGTGCAGAGCCCGAGGGGGCATAATCTCACAACCCTGAGATCATGACCTGAGCCAAAACCAAGAGTTGGTTGCTTTAACCAAATGCGCCACCCATGCGCCCTTTTGGTGCCTTGCTTTTTTTAAAACTTCAATATTATGATTGTAAAATTTACCCCTGCTTTTGTTTGTAGCTGTAGCTTAATTTTCAGTATTGTGTCGTATTCCATTATATGAATTTATCTATTTATCTGCTAATGGGCATTCGGGTTGTTTCTTTTTTTTTTTTCTTGCTTTTTATGACTTTTTTTTTTTGAGAATTTTTTTATTATGTTAATCACCATACATTACATCATTAGTTTTTGATGTAGTGTTCCATGATTTATTGTTTGTGCATAACACCCAGTGCTCCATGCAGCACTCGGGTTGTTTCTAAGTGGAGAATATTATGAACAATGTGTGTCCTGGTGCGGATATCCATGCACCCAGTATATACCTAGGAGTGTAATGGGTGGTCGTAAGGTAAGGGTTTTAATCATATGTAAATATTTAAACATAATTTTCTAAGTAGTGTTTTTATTATTTCATAGTTGTAATAACCATCATTTTATTGGATAAATAATCTTCCATTTATTCCTAAATTTTATAGCCTGGTCTTTTGTAATAAATTTACTCCTGCACTTTCTAATTTGTTCATAAAAGTGATACAAAATTTTAAACCTTAAGAATTTATAGCAGACATGGGGCGCCTGGGTGGCTCAGTCATTAAGCGTCTGCCTTCGGCTCAGGTCATGGTCCCAGGGTCCTGGGATCGAGCCCTGCATCGGGCTCCCTGCTCGGTGGGAAGCTTGCTTCACCCTCTCCCACTCCCCTTGCTTGTGTTTCCTCTCTCTCTGTGTCTCTCTCTCTCTGTCAAATAAATAAATAAAATCTTTATTAAAAAAAAGAATTTATAGCAGACATACAATCACATGGACTATGGTCTTTCGTAGACGGTGAAGTTTTGTATGCTGTCATAGAAGATATTAAGCAAATATATTTAAAATAATTTTTAGGGGATTTTTTGATTCAGTTGTGTTTGACCTATAACACTGCATAAGTTTAAGGTGTAGGACATACTGATTTGATACTTTTATATTGCAGTATGATTGCCATAGTAGTATTAGCTAATACCTCTGTCACATCACATAATTATCATTTCTTCTCGTGTTGAAAACAATTAAAACCTAGTCTCTTAGCAAGTTTAATGTTTATAGTATAGTTTTTTTGTCTATAATCACTGTACTGGGTATTAGGTCTTTAGAACTTTCTTACTAGTTGTATGTATCTTTCAACAACATTTCTCCCATTCCCCCACCCCCTGAGAAGTATTGTTTAAAAGACATGATGAATGTTTGCCCTACCAGGAAAACCCTAGAATTCAGCTTAACCTATCTGTTAAAATTTCAGTGTTTAGCTGCACAAATCTGTGATAAATTAAAATTAAAGTGTCATATTTTCAGAAGTCCGCTCTTTGACATCTTCCTGACTTCTTTGAAAGTAATTTTAGCAGCCTCTCTGCTCCTCCACTTTGTATACTATCTCACTATGCAATAAAACCTTTTTAATGTGCTTTGACACAGGGACCAAGGTTGCTAAGAGACCACCTGTGCTGAATGCATTTTGTTCTAGCAAGAGCTTAGGGAGTGAACACTAAGGAGCAGGGTTAGCTACCACTAACTGGGATTAAGTCAGGTGGGAAACGGGTTTCTACTCACTCATCAGTCCCTACCAGCTCTCTGGCCTTTCCCACACTTCCTATTTTGGTCTCTTGCTGTTGTTGGAGGAAAGTAAAGGTGCCCCTCAGAGCACAGATTAAAGAAACACGAGCTGGAGGCCACAGCCATAGGAGTGAAGGAAATACTTAGCAAACCCATGTATTATTCTCATTCCTTGTTTCTGAAACATAGGCAAAAGGAATCGTTGAATGTCAGGGAAATTCTAGGTGTTTACTTTGCCAGTGAGTGCTGTGTAATTTGGGGCCTGCCATTCCCTCCTCCAGGAATGGGGCTAGTTATTACAGAACTTAACCAAGATTGCTAAATTGGGAGAAGACAACACCGTCCAAACCTCATCTCTTCCACTCTCTCTCACAATTCAACCTGCCTTTTTGGTTTTTGAGTGAAAATAGCAAAAAATATTCTTCTACCCTAACACTGCCACTTTTAAAATGTATTGACGCTCCTTTTTGAGTGTATAAAAGGAACTTTGAGGCAAGTCTTTGAAAATTGTTGGATTTATTTGACCTTGCATTCCTGAAAAAGGAGTTCAGAATGGTTCTAAACTCCCTACCTGACAGGCATTCGGTAGAATGTTCCAACAGTGTTGCTACACAGAGCTCACATTAGTACCTTTTAAAATTCCATAATACTTTATGAAATTCCTGTTATTTGTAAAAACTGTTTGATTAACACAGAAACGTGGAGGAAATTAAATGTTTGAATATCTTATTCAGTGACCAAAATAATGAGAGAGAACCTTGAGGAAAGATCAAGACAATGAAAAAGACCTTTTGTTGTTTAATTAAAAAAACATTTTATCACCTGCCTTTTTCCATGTTTTCAAATTCTCATTTCCTCGTGATGCTGCCCATACAGGTGGGAAGAAGGACAATTTCACGGATGCCAATAGAGATGATGACTTTGTAGATGAGATTTCATAAAAAACTAATTACTGATAATATGACAAGAGGATGGTCAGTGTGATAGTTCCTTGAGCTGTGTTTTTATTATTTCATAGTTGTAATAACCATCATTTTATTGGATGGTTATTATTTCTTTCTTTTTATTTATTTATTTATTTATTTTTAAGATTTTATTTATTTATTTGTCAGAGAGAGAGACAGAGGGAGAGCAAGCGCACAAGCAGGGGGAACGGCAGGCAGAGGGAGAAGCAGGCTCCCCCCTGAGCAGGGAGTCCGATGCGGGACTCGATCCCAGGACCCTGGGATCATGACCTGAGCTGAAGGCAGACGCTTAACCGACAGCCATCCAGGCGTCCCAAGCTGTTTCTTTTTAGAAAGAAAGGCATATTTGACATGTAGAAAAATGTATGATTATGACATAATGTGGTCAAAATGAGTGGGTGGAAAATATTTTAATTCATTAGGAGGAAAATAATTTTAGTTTATAGATGTGTATAGATGTTCCCTCATCACTGTTTCTTTACAGTACAAATATTCTATTGAATTTAAAGAATCAGGATTATAATAAATATGTTTATTTCAGGATACTTCTCTCTTTTTTTCCCCCCCTAGGGAGCAAGAACATTCTGGATATGATGTGTAAAAACTGGATATTAATGTCTACTACTGTTCCCGCAAGTCCAGAAGATGAAATTGTTGGAAGACTTCTAAAAATTTTGTTTGTTATCTTTGTTGACTTTATGTCTATTATATATGTCATTATAACTTCCTAAAGAGCTGAGTTCCCTTGCTTAACATGTAAATTTCACATTAATTCCACTGAATAAAAATTTGTAGTTTCATTTGTTGAGTGATTTTATTTTGATCTCCAGTTATTCTAGAAGCCAAAAGGACATTACAATCAAAACAATATCATGTATTGTTTAGTATCTTAAGGTTTATAAAACATCATAAAAATTAATGTGTTTTTTTCTCCAGAAATCTACACTACTGATTCATAAAACTTCTTGACTTTTTAACACGATTGTAATTTGGTAGATTGACTAAAATTTGTAAGTGTAATTATGGGTGATTTTTTTTTCAGGATGCATACCTACCTGAAATTTTATCTGGTTCTATTTTTAACACACCCAGCTTAACATATGATAATCTTTCCATACAATATGCCAGTAGTTTATACTCATTTTCTTGTACACTTATCTCATCTGTGTGGAGGTAGGTATGTTTTTCTGAACCCTGGACAATTTTATGTTTCTATCAACAAAAACTTAAGAGTTAGGAATAGAAATACTGTAAAGAGAGTATAGAGAATAGAACTTACATGAGAGGAGAGAAAACAGGTGCAGTGTGTGTCAATTTTCTATTTGGGTCTAAATGCTCCCACTATGTCATTTAATGTAAGGCTCACAATAATTCTAAGAGGCAGGTTTGTTGCCCTCATTTTACAGAAGGAAAAATGGGATGTTGGGAGGATTATGCTAGCTTGAGACCAAAACGAGGAAGCGGCAGAACCAGGTCTTGGGCAGTGGCAATCCACATTATGTTGCCACCAAATATAAATAATAATAAGACGAATGTGATTAAGAACCAATCTGCAGAGCTTAGCTTTTTTTCACAATAATGTTTTATTCAAGGTCCTAGGGCTGTATTTTTGCATTGCCCCTATTTATTTTCTTATTCCACATTTAAAAATCTTTATGAAAAAGAGAGATCATTTACCCTGCTTGACAATGCCTTCTCTTTACTTGTTTTCTTCATTTCCTCATTTTCTGATAGTGTTAAAATATAGCTGTTGAACTTCGGCTTTTTAAGTGTCTGAAAAGCAAAGGTCACTCTGTCCTTTAGACTTTCTGGCTTTTTACGTTGGACACACATGCTTCACAAAATTCTGATTTCTTCCATGTGATGACCATTTTCTCAGATTTGGCCCAATCATTAATGCAAGATTTCATAAGAGGCCTAATGAAGTGTGAAAGGAATCTGGGACCTTTGAGACTTATTACTTAACTGACTCTTACTTAACCTTTCAGTGGTGTTGTGTATTTAACCATAAGCCAAACAGAGTTAAACCATTTAAACATTTGCTGTAACAGAAAATCCTACTTCTACACTATACATTCACCCCCTTCCCTTTGGATACAAGGGTCACGTCCTGTTGATGTAATGGGTTTCTCCCCACTTCCCTCTATTTGGGATTTGTTGGGACCTATTATCAGTTACTGACAGGAGAGTAAAGTCACTCCATCTTCTGGAAATTGTTTTTCTTTCCCCCTGTCTGCTTCCAGGCAGTAGACAATGTGGTTAGAAGCATTGACTCTGAAGCCAGACTACCTGCATCCAAATCTGGGCTTTGCCTCTTACAGTTTAAGAGCCCTGTGTCTCCCCTCCCTTACCTGTAAAAACAAGTGCTTGTATCATAGGTTTGTAGAGAGGATGAAATGAGATGACCATGCAAAGCGTGTAGCACAGTTCTTGGCTTATGGAAAAACTGAAGCCGCGATAGATTGGTGTTATCAGCATCCTTAGGTGGGAGCACAAGAGACTTGACTTCCTTCACGCTGAGTGTTAGAGGGTCTCAGTCACCTACCTGTCCTACACTTCCCCCTCGCCCTTAGAATGACCTCGCATAACCCATGCCCTTGGCCTGCGAGTGTGACTGCTTGCCACTGGGCCTGGGCATAGTTCTGGGCGAGGTGTAGATCTAAACCCTTTGACACAGGAGGGATCCTTTGGTGATGTTATTTTGGGACCTGGCAATTACAACTAAATACAATATGACTTGCGACAACACAGGAACATTGAAAAATATCTTTTTGCAATAAGTAATCAGAGTCTTGGCTTTATAATTAGAAATATATTGCTTTTTTTTCACTGTTCAAAAATATGCCTTCAGTTCCTTTTTGCCAGGCATGGTGCTGAACAACCAGGTCAAAGTAGTGAAGAAAGCATAGTTTTCCTGCTGCCGCGGAGCTCACAGTCCAGTGGGGGAAAATGAGTGACCCAAAGGGTACAATTGCTATTGGGTAAAGTAGCAGACAGGACATGCCTGGCGTGTTATGGAGGGTGTGGTGTTGTGGAGGATGTTCTGGAGGCTGCCAGGAGCAGCAAGTCCTGGGATCCTGTTGGACATGCAGAACCTTAACTTCCCCCGCAGGCCTACTGAACTCAGAAGCTGCACTGTAATCAGATCCCGTGATTCATATGCATGCTACAGTTTGAGAAACATTTATGTGGAAGGAAGCTCACTGAACTAAGTGTTCCTACTGTCTGGCTAGTGGACAGATACGTGACCTCTGGGCAAGTTGCTTAACCTCTCTGGGTCTCACACTCCTCCTGCATTAAAATAGAACAGAATGAATAAAAACCAAAAATGGCATTAGCATTACCTCCTTTGCATATTGCATAGAAATGTTGTGAATTTTAAACGAACTGAACCAAAACACATAGAAATGCATAACAGAAAACAGTTATATAAATCTAAGATGTCCTAAACATCAAGAAGACAGGAGTAACTCTGGGAGGTAAGGGACTCGTGACTTCCTTTAGGAGAACTGGAAAAGGATTGTTCTCATAAATGGTAATAATATCCACTGTGTGGATGCATGTCTGCAGCTTGGACTAGGTAACACGTGTTTTCTGTGCAGTTTCATAGAACTTAATGTCCACAAGCACTGTTACAGTCAACCCTCCAGCTGAACTGGATGGTGTTTTTTTCAGCATGCCACTAATACATATGAATTGTCTGGCCATGCCTGAGCTCATGTGTCTACATGCTGTTAATTTCATAATCTCGGTATCAACTCAAGTGGCCTTGCATCCTTCCCAGTTCTGCAGTCCTTGAAGACTTTCAGAAGAGAGGTCAGAAGTTGCCTGCTAGAATCCTCCTAATTCATAAATGGCAACAGCTGAAGCTGGAATGGGCTGTGCTAAATGTTTTGCATACATTATGCAATTTAATCTGTACTAACAGATCTAGGAGATGTTTCCACTTTGCAGATGAAGAGATGCAGGCTCTGAAGGAATTAAGTACAATGCCCAAGTTCATGCAGGATATCCTGACAGCTGAAAGTGAGAGAACCAAGACCCTTGACTCCAAATGATCTGCCTTTAGAACCCTGTTCCTGACTGTTCAGTTATCCTCATGTCAAGCCAGAGAGGTTAATTACCTCACTGGCTCTTCACTCCCAAGGGCAAGGAGTTTGCACTAACTGAAGCAGCCTAATCCTACGCCGAGGGATGCAACGAGTAAAATGCAGGCTGTGGCATATAACCTATTGTGTTGTGAAACCTTGCAATGTGTTGACTGTCCACCTTAGAGGCACCTATCTTTTCTAAGACTTCTGTCTGTAATAAAATGGCATATATAGTCTCCAGTCATTGAGCCCTGTTGTTTCATGTTATCAAATACCAAGTCAGTCTTTATAAAAAGAAGTCTTGGATTATTGTGTTGCATTCAATATACAAAGAAATATAAGTCGTGTCCATAAAATCATTTCATGTCAATTTTTTAATAATTAAAAAAATCTCAAATACCATTTTGAGCAATTTGTTCCCAAAGAACTCACAAGTGACATCTTGGTAAACATGCCAATGGCTTGGGCTTAGTAATAACATCTTTCAAGTGACAAGCATTCTATGGTTGATGCATTACTTCAGTGTTTACTTGAATGAAATGACTTACAAAAAAAATAAACCAGGCAGTCGTTCTGAATTAGAATGGACATGGGACGCCTAGGTGGCTCAGTCGTTAAGTTTCTGCCTTCAGCTCAGGTCATGGTCCCAGGGTCCTGGGATCGAGTCCCACATCGAGCTCCCTGCTCCGCGGGAAGCCTGCTTCTCCCTCTCCCACTCCCCCTGCTTGTGTTCCCTCTCTCGCTGTGTCTCTCTCTGTCAAATAAATAAATAAAATCTTTTAAAAAAATGGACAGTTGCTAACTCTGGGGTAGGACTGGGCTGAACTGCTTCTGTAAAGACTGGGATCGAGGTTTGAGAGAGAATCTTAAATGTGTGGTGTTTGTGTGAGCATGTAGAACAGGTTTTTGTTCTGGGTTGCTCTCTGCACCACGGTTATTTGCTAACCTTGCAGGGAGCCGTCCTACTAACTGAGCGAGAGGAGGGCAAGTTGCCATGTAGGCTAGTCTGGGATCAGCCATGAGCCCAGACTTATTTATAAACCTACAGGAAAGGCCCCTTGAGTGTACTCTGCCTTCTGACTCAGAATGATGGTGAGAGAAGATTAGTGAGAGAGCACGGGAAGTCCTTGAGGGCCAACTGGGTTTCCAGCCTGAACCATCTGCCCTTTCAGCCAGGAGCTGGCTACAGACTGTTTTCTGGATGGTCAGTGTCCCTGGACTGGTGTGATCTCAAGGTACAGAGACTGACCTTTGTGTGTTGTTTACGAAGTTGATTATGACTTGCACTGTGGAGATCGTTTGCTCAATAAATATTTAGCAAGCACTCATTGCCTGTCTGGTAGTGCTGTATGCAGAGGGAAAGATTGTGGGCCCTGTCCTCAGAGAGCTTGCCTTCTGGTAGGGGAGACAGACAACAAACTGATACCCTCATGAGAAATTCAGATAGTTCTAAATGTTGTGAAGAAAGTAAAACAAAGCAACGAGAGAGAGAGTTTATGTGGGGTAAGACTATTTTAGCTAGGGGGATCTAAGAAATGTTTCCTGAGAAAGCAACCTTGGAGTAGAGCCTCGATTGATGAGCAGCCAGCAAAATGGAGACCTCAGGGTAAAGACTTAAGGTACGGAGAACAGTAGGTACAAAGGCCCTGAGGTAGGCCGAGCTCAGCAAAACATTAGGAAGGCCAGTGTGACTACAGCTTAGTGAACAA